CCTTGCTGAAGGGACCAGGTCACACCATCTCCAAGAATCATTTCCAAGGCTGCTGAGGACAGTGCTTGCCACGTGGTGCCTGAGTCAGTGGGAAAAATTTGCACGGAGACTGCAGAAGCTCTGGAGAAGGGAGTGCAGCTGAATGGGCTGTGGTTCCACGTTGCATGAGGCCACGGAGAATCGAGGCAGGTTGTGTATTTGGGGCAGTCTTTTTTTAAAGATTTTCTTTATTTATTTGACAGACAAAGATCACAAGTAGGCAGAGAGGCAGTCAGAGAAAGAGAGAGGAGGAAGCAGGCTCCCCGCTGAGCAGAGACCCAGACATGGGGCTTGATCCCAGGACCCTGGGATCATGACCTGAGCCGAAGGCAGAGGCTTTAACTCACTGAGCCACCCAGGCACCCCTGGGTCAGTCTTTAATGGAAGGCGTCTTAGCATCTGTTCCCCTGGATGTAGCCGTCGCTGTGGACAGTTTCTGGGTGATCCCAGGAGGCAGGAGTGAAGGAGTAGGGAGATGAGACAGGAAGGGAGGAGAGCAGAGGCTGCGTTATTGGCTCATGGCTGCCATCAGCAGAGGTTTGACTCTTTGAGGATCCTGAAGCTTCAGAATGACTTCAGACGTGTCCCCCCAAGTCAGGAGCCCAGAGCGGTTATGTGCTGGCTCCCATCCCTCATTGATGGAGGCTCGGCCCCCATCATATTGAGCTGTCTTCACTTCTGGGCTCAGCGGGGACCCCGAAGGGTGCCGTGTGCAGCAGAGGTGGGATGCTGGAGGGCATGGTCAGTGTGAGCTGTCCCCTGGAGCTGCTGCCGGAAGGGGGCAGGGGCCGAGGGGACACAGCCAGAGCCTCACTGGCATTTCTGTGTGTGTGTGGGGGGGGATTCAGGACCGCACAAAGCATGAACTGGACTCTCAGGCCGTCCGGGAGGGAGGGAGGTGCAGAGTGGTCTGTCGCCCAGTGTCTTGCTCAGAGTTTCCCTTTACTGTCCCCTATTGCTCATTCCCCCGGCCTCTCTTGTCCCCGCCCCTGTGCTTTCCACGGCCAGGCTCCTCCAGCGAAGCGCCATCTCCCTGTGAGTCAGCCGAGAGTTCAGAGACGCAGAGGCTGCCCAGTCTGACTCCCAGGTGGTGCAGTCTTCCCACAGCGTCACAGACGGGACCCGAAGCTTCCTTGAAAACTGTCTTTGGAGATGCATCACTAAAGACTACCCATTTCTCCTTGGACAGCTCTCACTGCTGGAAATTTCTTTCTCTGGCTAAAACCCATCATGACTTGTGCCCACTGGTTGCAGCTGGGTTTCTCTGAGCAGAGCACAGCAGGTCTTGTCACCTAGGACGGCCCTTTCTCTGCTCCAGGCTTGTGCTAGGCGTGCAAATAACGCGAAGACGTGGGCCCACCCTCCAGGACATCACGGCATGGTGAGGAGTCTGAATAGAAAATTGCAAAGCAGCGTGAGAAGCCCAGCCATTGATACGGTGATCTGTTGGCACATGTGTGTGCGTGCGTAAATCCACGTGTGTGTGTTTGTCTTTTGGAAAGGCAGGGTACGTGGGGGTGAGGGTGTTGTGTGCAAGGTGAATGTCCTGGGTGTTTGGTCAGCTTGTCATCCAGGGTTGTTCTAGCCCCAGGGAGTGAGCAGATGAGTAGTGGTGGGCACGTGTGTGGGAGGCTTTCTCTTGATGGGTCAGGGGTCCTGGGAGAGAGGATTTATGGCAGATCCCCAGAGGACTTTATCTAGTCCTTTCTCCTTATGGAGATGGGAGGGAGGCCATGGAAGGGCTTTAAAGGGGGCCGGGACAGGGGCATGTTTCAGTTTTGAACTGACACACCCTTGGGTCAGGCCCTAGAGTGCTTTGGAGAGTGTGATAGTCAGGACAACGTAGCAGAGACACCAGCGGCACGTGTGTTTGAGCATGAGGATGGCTGTTCTTTTGGGTAACGGGGTCTCAGGACCGGCAGTTCCCGGGTGCGTTCAGTGGTGTAGCTGCCTTCAGGATCCTGGGGTCCGCCTTTCCCTTTGAGACCCTCAAGGCATTGACTCGTCTTTCACTTTGATCTCTTGTAGTTTCTGGGTGTTTATCTCAGTTCCGAGCAGTGGACATGGTAAAGTCCGGTTGAAGAAGAGGGGGGTTTCTTTCTTCTTAGGGAGGAAAACTGCTCCCAGAAGCCCCCTGGCCGCTTTCAGCTTGACCCCATTCAGTGCACCAAGGGTCTGTAGCCCCAGCTGCCGGTGGGTGTGGGGGGTGTGGGCTGGGACCGGCAGCGTTCTCTGTCCCTGCAGCCGGACTGCATCACCCTTGAGGAGGCACGGGCACCGGCAGTGGGTTCGGTGGCCGAAGCGTGAGCCCTGTGGGCGGAGAGGTGGCATTCTCACCCCGTCTCCTCTTCTCCACCCTGGGACAGCTTAGGCTCTTCCAGACCTTTCTTGCTCCCGTCCACCACCCTCACACAGCCTGCTTTTCAGCGCCTTCCTAACTGACATCCGATGCCTACAGCAAGGTCGGGGTCCCGTTTGTCCAGGGCCTGGCTGTGAGATCCCTGCTGCCGCCGCGGGCTGCCGCCGTATGCATGCGTCTGGCTTTAACCCGGGTTCAGCTCACGGCAAGCTCAAATTCTCAGGGCCCTGGTTTTTTTTCTTTTCTTTTTAATGTGAACGTTTCTATTCCTGCTGTGTCGCCCACATACTGAATTGTATACCTGAGTGAGTTCTTTTTTAAAGTGGAACGTCATTTTAAAAGCAAAAAAGAATCCCTCGACGTGTTGTTTCTACCTCTTCAGAGCGTCCAGTATATTCTACTATAAGTGCTTCTGCGTGCGTACCACCCATTGTCTAGGACCCATAAAGAATTCTGTGATTCAAGCAATGTGTAGACTTCTTGAGATGTTTTTAATATAGTCACCACAACATGATGTAAAAAAATCCCCCCATTAGGCATAGTGCAAATCCAGCCTCACAGAATGTGAGCCCTAGTGACGACTTTGCAGGTCACTTGTTTTTCCCTGTTCTTTAGCCCTGTAGGACTTGTCATGTTCCTCAAAGGATGGACCTGTCTGGTGGTCCTTGACTTTCCCCTTTGGCCTTGGAGAGTAGTAATGCACAGTCCATCTGATTCATGCTCTCATCTGCTAATTTTTCTATTCAGTTCAGTGTTAACATATTTCATGCTCACACTGATTGCCTAAGGACCTTTTCCAGCAATTAAATTCTCTAAGACTGTTTCCACCTGGTCTGCATATGTTGCAGGCACCCCCTCATTACGGAGACAAGCACCAGAAGACGTCATCGGTAGAACACAGAATGTTAGTGTATGTTTTGATCAATCCTCCCCATTAGCCACTTGTTTTCCTAGCCTCATCTTGAGAGAGCCTTCCTCCCACCAGGAGGCCTCCCAGAGAATTTGTGCTTCTTCATTTTATCTTGTCCCCACCCCAGGAGTTGGTCCGTTATTGTGTGGGTCTGGCAGGAGGCAGACCTGAATCTTGGCAAGCACAGACTTCCCGAGTTGCCCCAGGCACTCTCCCTTTGGTTTCTCCAGTCTTTAGCTTCTGCCTTATTGCTGCGCGGTTCCAACTTGACCTGTACGATGCACCCCCCTCCCCGCCAGTGCTCTCTGAACCCCACTGTCCGTCTGCCCAGCTGCGTGTCCCCCACTGCACTGTAATAAATGGTTCCTTCTGCTTGTCTGATGTTCCAAAAAGGTGACTCTTGGGCAGTTTCTTTCAGGTTTGTGGTTGTGATTCTAAGACAGAAAACGCCTTTCTCCCTCCTCCCCTGTATTTCCTTCGGAGTCTGGAGCAGCTGGCATTCAAGGGATCACTTGCACTTGTATTCTTCCCTTTCTGGTCTTGGAGTGTTTCTTAGCCTTCAGGCCACTGCCACGTCTAGCCATGTGAAGTTAGATTAGCATTGTTCCTTCTGTAGCTGACACATCCATTCTTTTGTGTGTTGATGTCTTTTGAACACACTCAGTTCATCCTCCCCACTGGTGGCACGGGTTCGAAGCATGGATGTAGGGTTGCCCCTCTCCCACATAACATGTTCCAGTGGCTCACTCCTGCTTCCCACAGCGGCCAGGGAGGGCTGTGGGTCAGGGCAGCGTCACACATGTTGTGCTTGGCTCTCCCATTGTTTTAAGATTTTTTTAGTTGAGTGTCAACCTTGAAAAATCAGAAGGTTTCATTAAAAAAAAAATAGTTTGGATTTTCTGTCCTCTTTGAACAATCAAGAGATCCAGTGACTTTGTCCTCAGCCCTGACAGGGCATCCCCGACTGGCACTGGGGCCTGTGCTCTGTCCCTGGAGCCCCACTCAGCGGCTTTGCCCACCCACGTTACTAGCCTGGTGTCCGTGAGCACTGCGGTCAGGGATGGAGGGTCCCCGGCTCTCCGGGGCCCTCGGGCCCTCTAAGAGTGGGCTGTTACTCCCTGCCCCAGTTTTATGTTTACCTCTCCGCGTCTCTGTGAAGCTGTTGCTATGCAGCATGCAGAACCGATGGTTTTTGATTCTTCCGTCGCTCCTCATTTCTGTTGGTGCACAGCTGACTGTCCTTGCCCGTCTCTCCCACCAGACTGCAGGGCTTGTAAGGATGGGGTCTGTGTCTGTACCTTATCAGCCTTTATAGCCACCGTGGAAGGTAGCTAGTGGTTGTGGCTTGAATGGTTCTTCCTGGGCTGTAAATCTCAGAGACCATATCTTCCGTGGTGGCTCCGCGATCTGGCAGGCTTCGAGAGACCCAGGTGCAGAATTATGCCTGCTGTGGCAATGCCCCGATGGTGGCCCTTGGCCGCCCTGCGGGAACTACTTACTGAATCAGACGAGAGCCCAAAGATCCAAAGACAATGCTGAAAGTGAGAGGCCCTCACAGCAGTGAGGACCGCTGTGTATATATTACATGTAGGTATGTCTTCTACTGTCCCATGAAAAGATCATGTGCAATCTCCAGTTCTGTCACTGATCTAAAAGGACACTTGATGCATCTAGGTACTGTCTGCTCTTTAGGTGATGAATCTGATCTTGAACTGGAAAGGAAGTATAAGGAAGATGATCGAGAAAAGAACCCCAGGAGGCCGCGGACACAGAGGACAGAGAAAGTCCAGAAGATCCCCTCAGGAAAGGAGGCCGGGCAAGTTTCTGGAGTGAAGAAACCCATCATAAGTGTGGTTTTAACGGCCCACGAAGCCATTCCAGGTGACCACAGCAAGCAGGAAGGGGCAAAAGAGGCATCTTTTAATGAGTCTGTATTAGGCAGCCTGACAGTTTGGACCCTGTGGTCCCGGGCAGCTGGCTCACCGATGGGGTCCCGCACTGGCTACCCATTTGTGTGACACCATGGCGGGCCCGTTCCTGCAGGCCTGTTGCGGATAGCGTCTGAGGTGCGGGGGCGGGGGGGTCCTGTTGCTGCCATAGGCCCGATCGGCACGTTTCTTTCCTCTGCTCCCCTGGCCCAGCCCCTGTCCCGGGGGTGCTTACTGCCCTTGGCGGTGGGGCCCCTGTGGGAGACAGACCCGCTCCGACCAGACGGATGCCCCCGGTCCCCAGAACCCGCACTCTCATGGTCCCTCTGCCCATCTTTAGTAGACTCATCACATATTTAGAATATTGGAGACTTTGGTCTCCCTTTCTTCTCACATAAAATAGAGTGGAGATATTATACTACCTTTTTAAAAAAAGGTCTTTCGGGAAGGGATACTTTAGACAAAAAGCAGTTTATGATAGCGGGTTACAAAGTAATATGATGGTTTTTTTCCTATCCACTTGGTGTGATAGTTGTCAAATAATATTTAAAATCAAGTGCAGGGTTTTAAGATTTTAAGAGCAGCTACAGCCTTTGAAGCACCTCTTGTCGATGATAATAGTAGTCACTCCTTATTCAAAGTGGAAATGCCGGTGAGTGCCTCTTTATACCTCAGTGCAGAGTAGGATGATCAGTAGGAAATAAGGCATGGAAAAACACGTGTCTAGAACTTTCTGGAAAGTTGCTGTGTCTGCCTCAGCTTACCTCAGGGTGGTGTTGGCCCAGGAAGCAAAACCTTGGAGCGGGAGTGGCTGTTGTTCTTTGCCATCTCTAGAGGTTAGCAGTAATGTCTTTAAAATTGATGGCAGTCCTTTGAGCTTTCTGTAGGTGGGGGCAAATGTGTAATTGATTCCTCTGCTATTCTAGAAATGGGGTAGATTGGAGCCTTTGCTTTGATGCACGTGTGTGTGCTTATGTCCACTGCTATACAAGGTCTTCGATCATTTGCATCCTAGAAGTATAAGCAGCGGGACCTTTGAGTTTTTCCACTCCACACCCTTCATCTGCTAGGGCAGAAACAGGCCCCCCACCCCCCGATGGTAAGGTCATGTCATATGTGGGACTGGACCCCTGGCAGCTGGGATTCCTGTTCACAGCTGAAGCCACGGCTCCGTAATTTTGTGATGCAGTTTTCCATTTACTCAAAGTGGGACACAGGTGATCCTGTGGAAAACCTGGGAGTAAACAGGTATATGTATGTCCCCGTCTTCTGTGTTTTTTTTCTTAATAGATCAAGTGACAGTTACCACAGAGGATTTTTGTTTGTTTGTTTGTTTTAAAGATTTATTTATTTACTTTAGAGAGGGGGCAGGAGGGGTGAATCTGAAGCAGACTCCATGCTGAGTGCAGAGCCCTATGCAGGGCTCTGTCTCACCACCCTGAGATCGTGACCTGAGCCGAAACCGAGAGTCGGACGCTCAACCAACTGCGCCATTCAGGAGGCCCAGAAGGATGTTCTGCTAGATTCCCTTGCCCTTCCCCTCCACAAACACACACAGACACAGACACAGAAGTTAAATGTGTGAACTGCAGGAAAACCCCTACCTTGCCAGGGCACCACATTGTGAAGACACATACTTCTGGGACTGGGCTCCTGTGTGTGTGTGGGGGGGGGTGTCAGAGCCCCCCGTGGCGCCTCTTTAATGCGGGGCGCCTTGTACCTTCGTCTCAGGTGCTACCAAGATCGTTCCAGTGGAGGCCGGGCCCCCGGAGACAGGTGCTTCCAACCCGGAGGCCACCACGGCTGACCTGGCGCCTCGGAGAGGGTACCAGGAGTATGCCATTCAGCAGACACCGTACGAACAGCCCATGAAGTCCAGCAGGTAAGATGTCTGTCTGTGCCTCCAGCCGGAGCTGGACTCCAGTGATGGCCGTAGCGGGCCAGAGGTCCAGCATGTTAGTTTGTTGGGACTCTGTTGCAAAGTGAGTTGTGGAGGACATTGGTTTCTTGATTTAATCTAGGAGTCAGACCCTCGGTTTCAGCTCTTCTGTGTTGACTGAGCCTGTATCGCATGAGAAATGCATGGCAGGTCCACACGCTTTTGGAACTGAGAACCAGTTGGCTTCATGAAGGCGGAGCATTTTATTTAGGCGAATGTGTGTTCAACCTCGATAAAAGAGGCGTAAACAAAGGCGATAGTAAATGTGTTGATTTTTAAAGCCGCACATACATGGTGAGAAGAAAAATCCCCTGCCCTCCATACTTTTAAAAGTAACACGGGCATCTTGTAGAAAGTTCCAGCACTCCAGGTGATGTAGGGTTAAAGTCATCCACAGTTCTTCTTCTAGAAGTCACTGCTATTGATAGTTTGGTCATAGGCCACCATAACTTTTTCATGATACACTAAAATGTAGCCTTTTAGTTTTGTTAGTGTTTTCTAATACAAAATAGCAAATGCACTCTTAGCAATTTTTTTTTTTTTTTTGAGAATCTTTTCCAGTACCCATTTTTTAACAAGCATTTGCTATGGGATGGCTGCACTATAGTTTCTGTAGCCGTTTTTTTTTCTGATGGACGGTGCTGCTCTCAAGGTTCTGCCACCTTCGTCTTTCTGTACCTCTTCACAACTTCCTGTGGCAGAAATTGCTAGAGTTGAAATTGCTGTCTCAAAGGATATGAGAACTTAAAACTAATCAACACTGCGAACTGCCCTCCAAACACATTGGATCAGTCAACACCCCATAGTGAATGAGTAGTAATTTTCCACACCCTCCCAGGGTCTTCGACTCAGCTGTGATCAGTGCTGCCCAGGTGGCTTAGCAAACTGATCATCTGAGCTCTGCAAACATTTTCCCAACTGAGAGGAAAGACAGTGAAAATGCCGGTCACCGGTGGGGTTCACCTGTTTCTCGAAGAGGGGAAATGAGCTGTTCTTGAAAAGAGCATAGCTTTTGGTGCCAAACAGACCTGGCTTGGCTCTAGACTCTTCTACTAGGGCTCAGCTCAACAGATTAAATGCCTGTTACGTGCCAGGCCCTGGGGAGGAGAGCGAACAGGACAGACGCGGGTGTTGTCTGGATGAAGTTTTACTCTGTTGTATTTGACACAAGTGGGTTTGCCTCTGAGCTTCTGTTATACCAGGCTCAAGATTGTCTCTCGTACACTCTGACTTCTTTTAGTGGTGAGAATAAATGATAAAATATATGTCATGGGGATGCTTCGTTAATTTGTAGCCTCAACCCTGTATGCTTGCAGCTATGAGCAACGGAATTTATTGATGAAGTTGTAAAAATACTCATTCCTTTGGCAAAACTGTCATGGAATTAAATTTGAAGATATTCTGGTCTCCAGTTGATTTGTAGACCTTAGGTAACTATCTGCGTACTCTTCCAAGGTCTGCAGGGGGCGGATTCAGCGAACTGGTCATCTAGGAAACAGGCAAATAGACACAGTATCCAAACAGCTGATTTAGGCTGTATTCCAGTTGTCATGTGTTCTGCCAATATTTTATAGTACCAATTACAAAATAGGAAAGAGACTTTATTGTGCACGATGATTTTGCTTTGTAAAATGCAGATACAAATTTCTAGGTTACAGCAACATACCAGGTAGGCTCTCACACAGGTAGGATATGAACTGATTTTTATGGAAAATTTTGGAAGTCCAGGAAATTATAAGAATAAGCATCATTTGTAATCTTGCTACTGTATTAGAGTCACTGTTAATATTTTTAATGTATCTCCTTCCAGCCCTTTTTGAGCCCATGTATTTTATGAAATCGAGTTTGTATTTTATAATGCAGTTTTGTGTCTTGCTCTTACTGCACAGTCACGTTGCACGCGCGTTCCTGCGTTACTCGGGTCATTCACGGTCCTTCTGTAGTGACCTGTTACGTTGCGATGAGGATGCTCTCTGATCCACGCAGTTCCTCACACCGTAGCCAGTGAGGTCTGGTTGTGCCCTTCAAGGCCTCAAGGTGTTAGGAGAACTTGGCCTGCAGGACCTCCTGGGGCCGCCACTTCTCCAGCTTTGCCTGCTCATCGGCTGCCTGTGGTCTCAGGGCTCCAGCAGGTGCCCTCGCCCTCTGGGCCCCTCGTACTTCTCTGCTGTCTCCTTGCAGGTGACTCTTCCTCCTTCTGGATGCTTCCCCTGTCCCTGGCTTGCTTAACTCCTAATCATCCTTAGCTGTCTGCTCAAATGTTCAGTGCTCAGGACAGCCTGCCCTGCCCACGAGACTGATCAGTCTGCCCTGGTCTGGGTTCAGAAAGCATCATTCTGTCTTTTCCCATCCCCACAGGGAGGTTGTGGTCCCTACCTGCCCATTTCTATGGTGGTTATCTGGCCCATCCCTTCCTCTGGAAGGTGGGCTCCAAGAGACCATGAGCTGTGTTTGTTTTTGTCTCTATTGTGTCCCCAGCGCCTGGAGTCCTTTCTTAAATGAGTGACAGAAGTAGAAAAAATAAACGTGCAAGCAAACTAGTTCCTTATGTTGGGACCTGTGGGCAGCTTTCCACTCCTAACAGGGCTGTGAGAAGTTGTGCGCTGAGCACCTTTGTTCCAATTTTGTATTCTTATCTTCCATTAGATTCCCAGACGTCAGATAACCGCGTCAAGGGTCTGACCTTTAAGAGCTCTGCCTGATCACTCTCTAAAATGCAGGGGCGAGAGTGGCTCTCTCCCTGCAGGGGAGCTCCCGGAGTGAAATGACACAGTAGTCCTGTGGACGCTGCGCTCAGTTCACGGTCATCGCGAGCCATGCTGGCGCCTGGCAGCCCGGTGCAGGCTGCCCTGCATCTTCATCACGCTCGTTATCCTTGGCGGGAAACTGGGCACCGAGGGCTTTATCAGGTATTTGCATAATGATACAGAAAAAAATAAATGAGAGCAGAAGATTCTCCTAAACCATTTAGATCTTGCATTAGAGGAGAAAATACCATGATTTGTTTATTTAATTAACATTCTGAATCCAGGGTTTCTTTCTCCACTCTTCTTTATACCAATGAAATCTATCCCCTTCTGGGTTTCTTTGTCATTTGAGAAAGATCCAAATTAGTTTCCTGAAATTAGCCTTGGGTTTAGCATGCAGGCATAGTACTGACTTTCAGATTTGAATATTTTAATTACATTATGTGAACGGTATCCTCTGGTGTTTATGAACTACAATCGATTTAAGTATTTTTAATTTAAAGACAAGGCAACCCGTGTTGATCAAATACAGTTGTATGGATAGTTCCGTAAATATAGACTTCACAGTTATGGTGGATACAGCTTAATGGTGTCTGATTAACAGTGCTAAGTGGTGATCAGTATTTCCAGGACCTTCGTGGACAACCTGGACATACGTCCAGAGGGACCAGTTACAGAGGAGAGGAAGCCTCACCGGCCTGTCTGGCCCGTCTGCGAATTCCTGTCCCTGCTGCCTGCTGCAGTACTTTAGTGACGGTCATTCTCTGATTCCAGAAACAAGGCAGGGCTGTACTGGGGCACTGGAAGCCCTGTACAGGGGACCTTCTCCCTGTGTGCGGTCACACCAGGGACGGCAGTGGCGGGCGTGGTGTTTGCAGGCCTTAGAGAGGATGAGGAGCTGTGTGCAGGCTCTAGAGGCTCAGTCCACTTGGGGTCCAGTCCTGGCTTCACTGCTTACCCGTTGTATAACCTCGGGCAGAGACTCTGTTTTGTCATCCTTACGGTGGGTTTAACAGTAGGGCTGGGAATAAATACGTAGCATAGGCTTGGTGTACTACCTGCTCAGTAATTGTGAGCTGTTCTGAGCATCTCATACACGTTGCCATATCGAAAGGGAAAGGATCCACAAGGCAGACCATGCTTTTATTCTCCATCACGGACACAAAGTCTGACACAGTGCCTGAAACACATCGGCAGGTACTCACAAAGGACAGTCATTGATAAGTGACTTAACGAGGTTAACACATGACAGTTGAACAGTAGCCCTCTTTGCCCCGTGTGAGCACTGAACTAGCCGTGGGGAAGGGGGAGGACAATGGGGACTGGGGCATCAGCTCCGTTACTGATGACGTTGTGGGGGATTTGGCGGGATGCACATCAACACGTGCCCCCCCCCCCAGCCCCAAAGTCCTTGACTGCTGCTGGCCAGACCCACGCATGCCTGCCTAGCTGAGCACGTGCCCCCACCTCTGCTCACTGGCAGACCCTTTGTCGCCAGAAGGGCAGACGCAGAGCTCATCGCACCACGGCCAGGTCCCCAGTCAGAAAGGCCAGTTCACTTGCCCTGCGAGGACATGGGGATGCAGGGTCTTTCACTGATGAGTGGCAGCAAAGGGCAGCGCCCCCCCCACCCCCGACAGCTCGTTGAAGGAGCAGGCACGTGTGGACCGTTGCCGCTGGAACAGGCCCAAGCAGATCGCATCTGGTCTGACGGAGCCATCAGAGCTCATCCCGTAATGACTGGTCACGTAGCCGGAATACGTCCAGGTCAGCTTTGGGGCACAGCTGGTTGCTGTGTACGTCGTGAATGATGCCTCCCTCTTCCCTCTCTCTCTCCTCTTGCCTCCCTTTTCTTTTCCTGCAAGCCTCCACTCAGCTCCTTCAGCATTGCCCGCCTGCCCAGTGCAGGTTGGATGTCTCGTTCTCTTTGTCCCCCACACGTGTTTCTGTCCACACCGGCCACGCGGGCGTGCAAACACGTGCTCACCTGTCTGCTCTCCCCCAGCCAGGGAGACCCTGAGAGCAGGGACCCACACTCGGCCCCGCAGTCCTGCTCAGGGCCGTTTAGTTGACCGTGAGCCTTTGGTGTTTGGTTCCTAAGAAGGAATCCGAGGTCGTTAGGGAGGTGCATCATCCCAGCGGTAACGGTGCTGTCGTCTGTTTCTAGGCTCGGGCCCACCCAGCTTAAGATCTTCACGTGTGAGTACTGCAACAAGGTCTTCAAGTTCAAGCACTCGCTGCAGGCCCACCTGAGGATCCACACCAACGAGAAGCCCTACAAGTGCCCGCAGTGCAGCTACGCCAGCGCCATCAAAGCCAACCTCAATGTGCACCTGCGCAAGCACACGGGCGAGAAGTTCGCCTGCGATGACTGCTCCTTCACCTGCCTGAGCAAGGGGCACCTCAAGGTGCACATCGAGCGCGTGCACAAGAAGATCAAGCAGCACTGCCGCTTCTGCAAGAAGAAGTACTCAGACGTCAAGAACCTCATCAAGCACATCCGAGACGCGCACGACCCGCAGGACAAGAAGGTCAAGGAGGCCCTGGACGAGCTCTGCCTCATGACCAGGGAGGGCAAGCGGCAGCTGCTTTATGACTGCCACATCTGCGAGCGCAAGTTCAAGAACGAGCTGGACCGTGACCGCCACATGCTGGTGCACGGGGACAAGTGGCCCTTTGCCTGCGAGCTCTGTGGCCACGGGGCCACCAAGTACCAGGCGCTGGAGCTGCACGTCAGGAAGCACCCCTTCGTGTACGTCTGTGCCATATGCCTCAAGAAGTTCGTCAGCTCCATCCGGCTGCGCGCCCACATCCGCGAGGCGCATGGGGCTGTGCAGGAGACGGGGGTCTTCACCAGCTCCATCAACCAGAGCTTCTGCCTCCTGGAGCCTGGTGGGGACATCCAGCCCGAAGCCCTGGGGGGCCAGCCGCTCACGGAGGAGGAGTTGGTGTTCCAGGGGGGGACTGAGCCCAAGGGGGCGGCTGGCCCGGGAGATGCACAGCCTGGGGAGGGACGGAAGGAGCCGGAAGCCCCCGTGGAGGAGCCTGTCCCGCCTGTGCCCTTAGCCGCCCCCCAGGCCGAGAGCGCTGTCCTGCCACCCTGTGAGCTGGAAGCTGCCGTGGACGCTGCGGACCTTCGTTCACACTCGGTGGTTTCCGATGGGTTTTTGCTGAAGAACGATCCCTCCTCTGCTGAGGCGTGTGCTGCTCCGGAGGAGACCGTGGGTGCCCCGTGCGGAGCCTCGTCCCAGGCTCGGGGCCCAGAAGTCCCACCGCTGCGGTCGGAGGCCAGAAGTGCGGAAGCAAACCAGCATACGCAGGGTGCCCAGAGCCCCCCGAGGGTGGGGCAGGAAGCAGCTGCACCCGTCCCCGAGGGGCCAGACCCTGATAAGCGCCTCAGGTCAAACCCAGATGAGGCCTCGGACCCTGCTCTGGGAGCGGGTGGAGGGGACCCGGTCCCGCCCCCGTCTGACTCGTGCACGCCTGGCTCCGAGCACCGGGCTGGCATCAGTGCGTTCCTGAAGATCCTGGATGGTTTGCAGAAGAGACAGATGAACACTGGCTTGTGTGAGAGGATCCGGAAGGTGTACGGGGACCTGGAGTGTGAATACTGTGGTAAGGAGAGGCGGAGCGGGCATGCAGCCGCTTAAGCTCCAGCCCCGGCTGCCCGGCCGCCCCGGCCGTCCCTGGCTGCCCGGCCGCCCCGGCCGTCCCTGGCTCGCTTTGGGTCGCCTCGTGATTGATTCGAGCTCGTGTCTCTTTGCAAAGCGCCGCTTCTAAATGAGCTACCCTTTGTCATCTGTAGATAGCAACAGGTGGCCTCCTGCTTACCAGTTTCGCTCGTGGAGCCTCTTGGGGACAGCCAGGGGGACTGGACAGTCAGCTGCGCTGTGTGGTCCCACGTGTGCAGTGGTTTATCGCACAACCTCTGCCAGACAGGACCAAAGGAGAATTGCTCTCCTGGCTCACGACAGGTGTAAAGTGTAGCTTCAGCTGTGGCCATGCTGTCCGTGTGGCTCTCTGTCGGGAGCTCCGAATAGAGCCCTTCTGGCTCATGGTGCAGGCCTGGCCTCTGAGTCTCCCAGAGAGCCGGCGGCCCCAGACTTAGGAGGCCCCGCTCTGGCCCGGGTGTCCATAGAGCGTAGAGGCTCTGACTACGCAGGCGCACGGCCGTCCTGGGCACTCTCGTTGGTCCTCAGGAAACACTGGTTCACCACCCCCGTTCTGACGTCATGCAGATGTAGCAGCACCTTTAGGTCTACAGCCTCCTGCCTTTGGAAGGTAGTTTGCAGACAGACATGAGGAAGGTGAGAAGGGTGACCTGGACAGGCTGGAGAGGGAGCTATATAGAAGAGAAGAAAAAAATTGTAACGGGAAAAATAAAATTCAATATAAAAGAAATTGCCTGGTTCTCATGTGACGATGTTTTTTTAGGCAAACTTTTTTGGTACCAGGTGCACTTTGACATGCACGTGCGCACCCACACGCGGGAACACCTGTACCATTGCTCCCAGTGCCATTATTCCTCCATCACCAAAAACTGCCTTAAGCGCCATGTCATTCAGAAGCACAGTAACATCTTGCTGAAGTGTCCCACCGACGGCTGCGACTACAACACTCCGGACAAATACAAGCTGCAGGCCCACCTGAAGGTCCACACGGAGCTGGTGAGTAGCACGGCCACGCCGGGAGCGCGGCGCTCTCTCCCCTTGGTGCCTGGGGCGCTGTCCTGCTTCCTGCACTGGCGTGTGAGCAGGTGCTGCGCCTCCCAGAACACTTCCCCTGGGGTTCCCTATGCAGGGATGGTCTCAGAGGTCGCAGAATGGTTTGGGTGAACAAACTTCCTTCCTGTGCAGATTTCTCAGCATCAGAAACTACAGAAGCCTGCAGAGCAGAAATAAAGGAGGGATTTTTTTTTTTTCTTTTAAAGATTTTATTTATTTATTTGACAGACAGAGATCACACGTAGGCAGAGAGGCAGGCAGAGAGAGAGGAGGAGACAGGCTCCCCGATGAGCAGAGAGCCCGATGCAGGGCTCAGTCCCAGGACTCTGAGATGGTGACCTGAGCCGAAGGCAGAGGCTTAACCCACTGAGCCACCCAGGCGCCCCTAAAGTGAGGATTTCTTAAACGATGTTGTAGAGAGTTATCAGTGACAGAGGTACTAGGAGGAACATGCGCTGCCGCTGGCAGTGGAGAGGCTCCGTTGTGTGGGGCGTGGGCAGTGGCAGGTGGTGTTGGGTTCGCCGGGAGAGCGTGGTAAACAGGGACGGCCGCTGTCGTCCTCGGGGGGCGGTAGTTGTCGTCCATCTGCGAGACATTGACTGTAAAGCATTTTTATTAAAAAAAAAAAAAAAAGTGATAATTTAATCCAAGAGGCTGTTAAGATTCATACCGATAAAACTTGTTTAATTCTTGGAAGGTGGTGTAACATAATGAATGAATGTTTATTCTTACAAATTCTCACGTTACTCAAGGCGCAGACAGCTGAGTGTGATTTGAGCCTTCTGCAGGTTCTGAAGGAGGCCTCCCTCCCACCCCGGCCCCAGGTGTGGTTCTGCTTTAATGGTGTTCCTTTTCATACCGCAGCACAGAAGGAGGCTTTGGAAACTCGGCGTACTTCCACTGTGTTCTGGCACGGAAATCACTCATGTTGTGGCACTTTCTGTGGCTAATGGGTGGAGTCGGGGTGTTGCAGGTGCGGTGGGGAGGGTCAGGACCTGTGCTTCGGGGTTGGATGCCCGCCGATAGCATCTCTAGCACTCGCACGGGCTGTGGATATCGGGGCAAATCACTTGCCCTTTCTGAGACTTGGCAGCCTTCTGTATGAAATACATATTAAAAATTATATATTTGTTACATATACATGCCATATATCTGCACATATATGCACAGACACATGTACATGTGTGTGCACGTTTGATACATGCTTGCAGACACAGTGTATGTTTATCCGTGTGTATAGATCTCCTGTGGTCCCGGGAGGATAGGGTGGAATGTTCTGGCAAGAACCTGGCTCAGTGATTGTGTTGTTGACCCTGTGCCCACACGTGTTTCTCTCTCTCTGAGTAGGACACCAAGGCTGGCTCTTTCCATTGCCTTACAGAATTGCTGTTTGATTGCTAGTGCTTCCAGTGTTGTCTCGGGCAGGGGGAACTGTGGCGGCAGAAATCATTACGATGACTTTGCTAGAAAAGTATATAAGGTCAAGAGGGAGGGAGGCCAGCATGGGGAGAGGATGCTGGGGGCAGACTTGGGGTGTGGCATTTAAGACCAGGAATCACGCTGTGGGTTTTAGCTCTCGCTCCCCCATTTGCCATGCATCTGACTTCAAGATGCATCGTATAACTGCCCCATGCCTCAGTTTACCCACCCTTGGGAGGGTGAGGGGAGAGAATATTTGTAGATGTCTCAGAGCGATGCCTGACATGGAGTAAGCATCGTGTGCCACTGACTATTAGAATCACGATCATTTATTCCACTTCTCACCTGGGGGCTTGCCGCTCTGCGTCAGGAGACTTGGAAACAGAGGCTGAAGGCTGACGTGGAAGAGGGAGTTGTCTGAGCCCTTCAGTGTATGGGACCATGTTTCGCCACACCCGTTTTCCTTGTCTGTTGTGTGTGTCAGAGGGACCTAGGTCGAGCTCAGGCATTTTCTTGTGTCTGGGTGCTGATGCTCAGCCTCCTGGCCACATCCCTGGTCCTCACGGTCATCAGGGCCTGTTGGGGACACATCCTAGGATCTTAAGACCCAATTTCACATGCTTTCATTTATCTTGGTAAAAGCGGCATTTAAAGATGTTTCTCTTCTCAACTTTCTGTGGTTGTGTCTGCAATGTCAACACTTAAGAAGACGCGTTGGGGATGGGGGACGGTGGTGACATGGTTGGTTCTCCTGTCGTCCAGGTCCCCTGTCATAATTCTCATACCATCTCCGGGAGGTGGGAATATTTCCTTCACCTCAGTGCAGGCATGCAGTGGCTCATCCCCGGTCACACTGTGGTCAGGGCAGACCGTCAGCCACGCCCTTCTGGCGAGTCTCTTGGACACCTGTGCCCTGTTGGAAGGAACGTGCTGGAGGTGGACTTTGTCCCGTGAGAGCAGAGGCTGCGTGGATGCTTTCCATGCTGTGTCTCGTGCTACACTAATGAAACGTCCCTGAGAATTCCCGCAAGAGAGGAGCAGGAGCAAGGGAGTGTGACTCTGTGGGTCTCGTAAAAACAGGGTGTCCTGCTTCTCATCAACTCTCACGCTTTCTTAGAGGTTGTTGAAGTGTGATTTCCCTCCTTGATGTTTGCATTTCTTCCATTGGAGGTACTTTTAAAGGTGAATGTGCTCTGGTGCCCTGAAGCTTGCCGATGCAGGCGAGAGCTGCCGTCCTCTGCGCGCCGGGCATTGGGGTTTCAGACAGGGGTATGACCCCCGGCTGCCTCCAGGCTGCTCTGTTTCCGGGGGGTGGGCGGCGAGAAACAGGAAGAAGTACAGCAATGAGGGAGGGTAAGTGAGGCCAGCACACTTCCCCTTCTCTTCTCACACTGCCGCGGAGAGGTCAAGGTGAAGGGAAAGGAGGGCTGCCTGGAGGAGGGGTTCTGAGTTTGATGAATAGGACTTGGCCTAGGGAGAGGCGTTGTGGGGATGGGGAGCTCCCAGGAGAGTAGGCGGCACACACCAAGGGGAAGCCTTTTGTATTCACACCAGGATATTGAAAACGTTCCCATGAAGCATGCGGACTCTGTTGCTGATGTACTTAGATGGCATTTATGAAAACGGGTTCCAGTATTTCGAATTTAGACAACATTTGTCTTTTGAGCCTGTAATTTATTTCTGGAAGGAAGCCGAAGTTACCAAGGAAATGTTGACCTGGTGGGGAGATCTTCCATTAGCTAACATTGCCTCGCTTCCCCTCCCCAAGCCCTAGGCAGTCGCTAATCTGCTTTCTAGTTCCATGGGTTGGCCTGGCTGGGGACTTTGTATAAAGGGAATCATGTAATTAATAAATAATGGCAGAGTCAGTAAATACCCTTTTTTCTCAGACTTGTGGTGAGGGTCCCACGAGAGAATCGAATGACCTTCAATTGTGCTGAGCTGAGGACTCTGGTCAGGGCAGGGTCCGCCTGACTTGGGAGAGAGGTGCTGTTGTGACCTTGGCCTTGGCCTGGGGCTTGGTTCTCTTATCTGTGCCCCAGAGAGATGGGCCAGATGTGTGGAAAGTCTGGTTGGACTTTCACATTTCATCCAACACTTGCCTGTCTTCAACTCCCGATTCCCATGCAGTGCAAAACTAAGGAAGTTTTAAATCGAATCCCTGCCCCATCCCAAATAGGCCTCCCTCCAGGTCCAGTCTAGTTGCAGTGGGACCCTGGGATAGTTTGGCTGAGTTGTCTATTTCTGTGACTCTTAACCTTCTCTTTGCTAACAATGTGCTCAGTGATCAGAAGGTGTGAGTTCATTTCATACAGTCTCTCCCACCACATCCCTCTCCTGAGGATCTAGGGAGTGTGACTTACAGTCCAGGCTGTGTTAGCATCAAGGAAATGTGGAGAGCCAGCCAAGGACAGTAGTTCATGCTGTTGCTGGAGCAGTCCCCCTTTTTTACAGCATTGCGCAGAGTTTGTGTGGGGGAGACGGGAAGAACATGTGAAATGCCGGGGCTTTGGGCTCTGGTGGCTGTAGCTCAGACCCATGTCCACCTCCCTGATCTTGGGCATTTGCCGAGTCTCCACTTTCTCATTTGTAATATGAAAACTGGGTACCATCTCTGGCCTCTCAAGGTCATGACATATAAATTAGAAATTGTGTGTGTAATCCACACAATTTCTAATTTATATTTTTTATAGTTTTAGATCCATTTTTGCGGTCTGCAGGTCATGGTCCATGAAACAGTTTAGTTGTGAAACAGTTTAGTGGGTCACAACTAGTAAGTACCTCTTAAAAAATGAAATGCCATAGAATAAAATAGAAATTACTAGCATTAGACACCTCTACCCGAGGTTAAGTGTTGTTTTCTGAAACCTTTGTTTCCATGTTTCAAGATTTATTTTAGAGAGAGAGAAAGAGCGGGCTTGGTCTGGGGAGAGGCAGAGGCAAAGGGAGAGCGAGAATCTCAAACAGACTCCATGCTCCATGCAGAGCCCAGTGCGGGGCTCGATCTCATGACTCCGAGATGAAGACCCAAGCCAAAACCAAGAGTCAGATGTTTAACCAACTGAGCCACTTAGGTGCCCCGTTTCTATGTTTCTGTCTGTTTATGTATCAGTGTATGTGCTTGTGTGTCCCAGACGGCAGTGTCAAATGTGTGACCTCCGGTGGGTCCCTCTAAATAAAGTTTTTGTTATTGACCCAGCTGATGTAATTCATGATGTCCTGAATGGGAATCACATGGGAGTGAGAGGTCGCTGAGCTCATACCTCCATTGTAATTTGAGGGGGACCTGGGAGTCTGCCCTTAGGTTCCTCCTGATAGATAACGTGAAATGGTAGGAAATGGAACATATGGTGGACGTTCACGATAGGTCAGTCTTTTCCCTTTCTCTCCAGCTTGTGTTCCTTCTAAGAAGACCTCACGGGTAACCAGCCGATCTGAGGGCACTTGTGGCTGGCACAAGCCCGCCCTGGGGACAGGACACGTTTTGGTGTCACCTGCTAACTCGACCACTCACAGGGTATGGC